TATAACATCAAGATCCAGGCATTTGATGAACAATAGGATATAGTATCCTTCACCGACATAAGTCTAGCAGGAGTCGCCTCGAACCTCCTCAGTTGGTCGTCCTCATTTGGTCGGCGATCCTATGCCCGACAACGTAATCGTCTTGTGGACAATAAAAATCGCTAAAATCTGTTTCAAAATATAAAATACATTCTTCTTTATAAAACAAAATTTGATAATCTTTTTCGAGATTTATATGCATGTCAAAAACATAAATTTTAAAAATATTTTTTTAAAAATTGATTGTCCACTTGACGAATACTTGTTTAGGCTGGGAAATAGCCCCCTGAGTGAGGTTCAAGACACCCTTCTAGACGAGTGGCGGACATTCGGGTGACCGAGTAGCCTTCGTGGACCCTCGAGAATAAATATACAGCTGAGCCTAGTCCCATACGAGTGCTTGCGGTCTCCCTCATCCGAATTTTTTTTTTTTTTTATCGACGCTTTGGGACAGGGCACTCGTGTTACTTTTCCTTTCTTTTGGGATTTCCCCAGGAGTTTTGAGGATTTTCTTTTACATGAGTCTTTTTCGTTGATTTTTCTCGAGTTCTCCGCTTTTCCTCGGATTTCCTGGATGACATTTTCTTCCGAACTTTGCTTTTGGAGATGCATTTAGGCTTGCTATACTTAAGGAACAGCAGATCCCACGGACGTACAGGTTTGCTTTACATTTTACAGCGCTTCATTTTTCCTATTTCTACCTGCTACTGTTCTTTCTGTACAACATGTTATACTATTCCTGTTTATGTCAGCTATTGTTCTTCCTGTATAGCATGTTATATTATTCCTTTTTTTTACCTGCTACTGTTTTTCTTATACAGCACGATATACTATTCATGTTTCTACTTGCTACTGTTTTTCCTATACAGCATGATATACTATTCCAGTTTTCTACTTGTTAGTGTTCTTTATATACATGTTATACTATCATTGTTTTTACCTGCTATTGTTCTACATGCACCCTATTGTTTGTCCTGTATTGCGCATTTTATATTATATAGCTTTAAGCATGTCTTCTTCTTTTATATAGGACAAGAAGACTATAACTATATGGTCGTTTGATTTGACATCGTAACTGGACACCCTAAAAAACTTAAACTCGTCACGGCAAGGAGCTTGGAGCGAATATCGTGG